AAGTTTTATTTTTAATTCATCCTTTTCAACCGGAGGTAGGCTATAACTGTCCTTTATAATGGGAATCATGTCTTTATAATGACAGTCATGTTCTAGCAAGGGCGTGGCAGAGAGTTTGTTTTTTTGGGGGGGAAGGGGAGACACACCTTCATTATTTAAATGCAAGGGTCTGATTTTTTTTTTTGGGGGGGGGAGTGGTGGTGGTAAATGAAGCCAACACGGCCCGTTCCCACTGGGTCCTACATTCCTGTGTGCAAGTCAATTGTCCGATATAGCTGTGTTTCTTTGTCAGTTGCCAATAACTGACTGCGGATGTGGCACACAGGCTGACCACATGGTGGCACTATAACAGCTCATTGAGGCTAATTCACGGAACTCCTGAGCAGTAATGTCACTGAACACGTTATTTGGGTTCCTCTTCTCACAGAGAGAAATTTGCCTCAAGGAACTGTAACTTCTGCCACTCTAAATTTCCGCTGCTTTAAATCAGTTGGAAAAAAAAAGTTGGGGGCCCGTAAACCCAGGCATTTGGAACATGTGGTGAAGAAGATGATGCAGTCGACACGAAAGAGCAGAAAACAAACTAAGATTACGTTTGTAAACATAATGCATCCAGTGATACAAGCTATTTAATTAACTAGATAGAAGTACAGTCTATCAGCTGGGAAAGGCAGGACAAACGTAACAAGGGGAAACGTACAGTATTTACCAGCGCGACTGTGGTAGATTAGGCCCCGAAGTATTCGCCCCTTAGCTTTCTTTTTCTAGCCATAGAAATTCTTACACACACACAGCCGGATTTGTATTCTTCGCTGACGGTTCTCAATTTGGAGACAGATTGATAAATCATAATAAATTATTCAGTTGTGGGCCAATTTAATCTTGTATTTACGTTGCACGTGATGCTTACTGGAAATGAAAAATATTAATTTGTAGAAATCAGTTTCGAATATCCATTTTTCTATCGTTTTGGGGTAATGATACAAATTACACAGGTCTTGCTGCACCATTATGAAGAGCAATATTAAATTTCAGCTTTGTTGAGATTCAACCATTCGGGAAAAAACAGTTTAAAATTTAAAATGTAAGCACTTCGATCTGCCATACATTATATTAAAACTTAAAATGTAATGTCTTCGTTTTTTGTGATAACATCAAAGGTTTTCTCAGGGCCCTCGTATCCATACAGACAACAAACTGGCCCGAATCATTGTGATTTTAAATATGAAAACCACATGAAGATTTTTCTGAGGACTCAGTGCTGTGTCCGGTCTTATAACTTGGCAGACCTGACGTCACACTAGTGAGGGCTTTGACATGTGACCAATTACCTTGATTTTCACCTTAAGGTTTTCAATAGACAGCAGTATTACGCTTTTATCGTGCCTGCCTCCGACGTCAAATTTACTGTCCTATGGGACAGATTAAACTAAATGTTTCACCATTGTTAGAATATTAAACTGAGACGGTGTTAAAAAGACAAATGTAATATTTTTCACTGCTTCTTTTAATCCTATAAGAAGCGATAATCGTTCTGACTTTTCACCGTAGTGACACTGGCACGTATAACGCTCACATTATACATTACTAATCGGGTTCGTTCTGTACCTTTATTTTCCCAATGTACCCATTCAAAATATTTCTTTCTGCTTTTGATAACCAATGTTTACGATATAAATGATATGTGTCAATTGTATTTATTTATTTATTTAACATACAGCTAAAATGTGTTAAATTTCCTTTTTTGGCCTGAATTGTTCTGAGTAGGCTTACTCGTCGTTCGCCAGGTAGCCTAAGCCCTGGAAACACTTTCTGTTAGTAAATATTATATCATTGGACGGATTCATTTGCCGGCGCCGAGACACCGAATGGCTTGAAATACTGAGCATGTGCTGAGCGTACGAAAAGATATAATTTATAGTCACTTGTTATAGCCTAACTAGTCATATACAAAATCTTGCCTTAAATGCAATTATGCAATTTCAACATAAACCGGCAATCAAACTGAATCACTGTCCTAAAAGCTTGCATATAAACTTTTAAAAACATTTTTAAAAATGCATAGACAGAGTCATCATACAAATATTTGTAAATAATGGATTTTGTGAAATATTCATGCCAGAATATATGTTCACTGTTCAATCACATATTTGGTCATGAATATGCTCTTTCCGCATTGACGTGAACTTTACCGACCAGAGAAGTTTGCACTAGTGAAATTCAAACCATTTTTAAAATATTAGTCTTAAAATATTTTCTAGTCCGTGATGTTGTCAATCGGGTGTCGATCTTCTTGCCCCAAATTAGGTTTTCCTGTGCTTTATGAAGTTGTAAACGGTAAAATGTTCATTAGACGAAAACTGCACACTTTCTGCGCACGTCGTTTTCCTAAACGGCCATGTAATACACCTGCAAACTTTCGCTTCCATCTCCCAACCACCGTAGTTTAAGCAGTTTCCTCCGGGATAATAAAAGTATTCTGATTATAAGTAGCATCAATATATTTAGGCTCGAAACGAAATTTATCAATCGTGAGTCACATTTGATTTTGCTTAATGCATGTGTCTATTTTACTGCCCCTTTTAAGAAGTGTGTGGAAACCGTTGGTAACTGTGTTTCGTACTCAAATCTTGATATTTCAAAATGCGTATTTCTAAAATGATACAATTCTAGCCTATTTTTAATTTTAACTGTAACTATTTAACTGTACTATCTAATATGTATATCCAGTAAGAAAGATATTTAGATTTGTTTAATTTGATACATGGTTTAAGTATTATATTGCAAATATCGGTTAAGGACATTGACGAACTAAACACAAAAACTTCAAACGGTATCACAATGGGGAGGAGCACATAATCTGAACAACGTTTGTCAAAGCCAAAATTAAAATAAAATGAACATAATTTCTGTTATAGTGTACAACTAGTTTTACCTTAAATACAATTAGGCACATGCGATTCTAGACCCTAATTAGCGGGGTTTCAATTACTTTATTGTTTGTGTCAGCCCCCCCACCCGCCCCGAAAAAATATTCTAAATCCTTTTAGCGATTTCGTCCCTTATTTCTATGGGGCCAAACCCCCTAAGGGTCAAATCAAAGGAGCGCCCATGTTAATGGGACAGAAACAATGATGTAGACACTTGAAAGTGGGATTCATTCATTAATTTATTCATTCATTCATTCATTCATTCATCTTCTACACCGCTTGTGATATTCAGGATATTCTGGGTCTCGAGCCTATCCCGGAAATGACGGGCGGGATGATCGCTCTCAAATACATAGATAACACAATGTAATAATGACAACACAGTAATCATTACACATAGTTTTAACTGACTTCTGATTAAATAACTCGCTCCTCAAAAGTTAAATGAAACATACTACCTTATTTATTTGTAACTTAGTATATAGACACACAGCACAACTGTTTACGTTGACTTCAATGTAGGCCTACATTAACATTTTACTCTTATCCAGTTTTAATATCTGTTTTTAACTCCTCTCACTTCTGGTGTACAAAAATTGTCATTTAGTTCCGTTACTTATCTGTAAATCAATCGGATTTGATTTCATTACAGCACCTTTTTTAACCAAGTTGGCCCAAATGCATATTAGACCAACTCCGGTCGCATTAATAACATATATACGAAGGTCTGTTGGTCACAGCAGATAATGTCCGTGGTTTGGCATCAACAGCAGATTACCTGATGCAGCGCATTAGTACGAGCTCGCACGTCTGGCCTCTTTATGGTTACTCTGCTCTCAGGTCTGGGTGTCGTTTTTTGATCGGACAGAGAGAAAGATCGATTAGTAAGTGCCCGATCAAATTGTTTAAAATGAATCGATCCGCTAACAATTTTCGTATTTAGGCCTATTTTGGTTAAGTGGTGTAACCAACGTGGTCGGAGATATATACCGAATTCTTTACAAGTTCCTATTGACTATTATTGCGCGTATTATTATAATTTACCCAATAGTCTAATGGACCCGAAACCAAAGAAAATCTCAGCTGAATATTTAGAGCAATTATAGAGTCGTACAAAAAAACATGTTCATTTTTACTTAAAATATTTAAATATGCTGACACTATTGTGCATGATATTTTGGAAGCAATTCCATATGTTTAAATAAATATATTTAAAAGTATTTAAATCGTAATAAGCATATGTGGAAAGCATGTAAGCGGAAAACTTTCTGTAAAATATATTCCAAATATATTGTAATTACAAAAAAAAATCTAATAATGCGTATTGTAATACGTTTTCCGCTTGGGGTGGTTTTACATTCTGTTCAAGTATATTTTTATACAGACCTATATGTTTAATTTATTAAAAAGCAACAGAAACAATAATAATAATAATAATAAATATATTATTATTCCCTGTGTGCCGTTTATAATACTTTATTTACCAGTCTTAAGTGTTTAAACTTATATAGAAACGTACATTATATAACGTAAGTATGCGGTGAATGTCCAACCATGATGAAGTTAACGAATTATTCAAAATGCTGTTTGCGTTTGTTTTTTGCGTGTAGGACAACACATGCATTTATTTGCCGCGTAGGCTCATTTGGATAGCAATCTGTCGCATTAAACAATCTTTCATTTAATCAAAGAAAAGTATAGGAGAGTTTAAACACAAACTTTTTGTCAGAGCTCCACGACATTATAAATACTAAACGCATTGCTGCCAGCGAATGCCAGGTGGTAATATGTAAACATAATAACAGTAACAACAACAATAGTTAAAAAAAAATAATAATAATAAAATAAAATCATTATAATATGATCCTCCAGCCTGATTCATTTAGTTCACTGCAAGTTGCGGGGTAAAACTTCTCTTCATTAGAAGTTTTCCCTCTTATGCCATTGGCCAACATATTTTGGTTCCCTCTCATTGCAAGTTTCTTATTGGACGCGCACGCTTTGACAGGCGACGAGAAGGTTGCCCTTAGCGCTTCGAGAGTGACAACTTCTCCTTGAGTGCGTACCAGTCGGACAGAGAGTGAACGAGGATAAGAATAAGACTGGACACATAAGAAGGGCTCGAAAGGCAAAAAGGTACCGTCAAAACAAAATTCCTCTTGGGCTGGATCAAGATAGCTGAAGAATGGCAGCCCCTCCACCGGGGAATTTTAATATAGTCAACTTTCGTTAGCCATTGTTTCTTGGATTACTTTGCTTTTTGGAAAGTGTTCTTGCTTTTCGGACGTTTAAACATCATTGCTGTGCATATTAGCCTTCTGGAAAGTGTTTTGCTGCTTGCTGGATTTGCTGTGACAGAGATGAGTGAGCGAAGGCGATCTGCCGCCGCTCTGAGCTCCAGAGCGCACGCCTTCTCGGTAGAATCACTGATTGGGACAAACAAGAAAAGAAAACTCCGTGGCTGGGAGGAGAAAGAGCTCCAGTTGTCCATCGAAAACATTGCGACCAACGGGCATTTGGGGGACGGCGACCATTCGACACAATCTCTGGACATGGACCCCGGTTAGTGCTCTTTGAACGTCCCAGAGTCAGGGTTACAGTTGCAGTTACCGCGAACGGAAGTTAACTTGGTTACCATGCATATATCATAATAAGACATCATATATATATATATATATATATATATATATATATATATTATTTACCTGATTTTAGAAAGTATTCTGAGTCATATTAAGCATCTAAATCAATCACAATATGTTATTTCATAACTGATAGCATTTTAATCATTAAAAGGTAGACTATATTTAACCTCCAAAAATCAACCCAATAAAACTTCTTGAGGCCTACAAGCATGATTTAGAGCAGAATTATTGGAGGCCCGTCAAGTGATTAGTGTTAAACCAGTCTGACTTCTGACTATTAAACAATATGGGTTAGCTGTCTTTTATAAATAATAACGTAAACAATTGTCTTTTTTATGCAGAGTAATGAGTTTTGAGCTGAATTTTTGACGTAAATAAAAAACCATTGCTTTCGTGACAGAGAAACTATTTGTCAAACATTTGTCAAATCACTGTGTATTAATCTATTCTCCATTTCAAATATACACATATTCATCTGTGAAATTTAATTTTGTGATGTTTAAACAATCTTTTGATACTAAACAAAGAAGTGCTTGCAGTATCGAGCGTCCTGATGTGGGCATCCATCAGTGGCCGAAATTTCTGTAACGGAAAGTGTCATTTACTTTACCTACAGGTCGCATTTTGACAAAGCGTCTGCTTAATATGTAAATGTAAATGAAACATACTTCCGGTTGCTGAAAAAATCAGTAATCGTTCTGGCCAAATAATACTGGATTGCCAGTTATCATTCCAGTATTTAAATAATTAAAATATTTATATTTGAAATGGAATGCATGGATACCCGCTCCAACATTCAATTTAAAAAATAGCAGAGCGAATCTATGATAAACGGAAGAGCGATTCTCCAAAACTCCACGGGATATATTGCCGAGATTTCTGTGTCCTTGGTGAATTTAACTAATGTTCTTCGTTGGATCACATGAGGACTGAGTGGTTTGGTTCCCAATACTCTAAAATATGATGCCTTTAGGTCATTGGCGGTCTTAGCTCAACAGCTACAAGAATTGTTTGAGTTTTGGAAATTTGTTCTTCAATTTTTCAAAGTTCAAATCTATAACATAGGCGTGTATATTTGTTTATTCAAAATTTCATTATGAAAACACTGGTACTGGAGCTGGAAACAAATCAAATGATTTAGATTTGTTGGTAAATATCATAGTTTTATTATATATGTTTAATTTGGCTTAATTGACAGAATTGCACTTCGTAAAATACTTGAGCAAAGTTTCATAATTGAATATTCATATAACTATTTCACGTAAATCTGTGTTGCATGTTTACTGTCTAAACAAATGGTCATATATTTTAACTTTATGGTGAGTTTGAATGTTTTACGATTATTCGTGGGCATCACTTCTTGAAATAATAGCAGTTAGTAAAATGTTAGGCTAATCAATTGCATTGGTAGTGAAGTATTTTCTAGGCCTGACAATACATCGTTTATAAAGACATGCATTTTATATTTAAATTATTAATTTATGTTCCTGGCTCGCTTTAAATTTAAATGGACAGTCATATTTTGAATAATAATGATCTTCTCTTTGTTATTTTTTTCCATTTAATGTTTATTTGTTTATTTTTGTGCCCGCCTATAAAGGTTTATACCCATGTAACATAGTAGAACGCCACCGTCGATTTAAAAAGGGCTTCAGTTGAAACTGAAGCAATTTAGGTGAACAAAATATTTGATATTTTATTTTTGACTTATTGTAAAAGAGATTCGACGTATTCAACAGTAATTTCCATGCCATATACTTATGCAAAAATCAGCAGATCAGGAATAAAACGGCTTGGTAAATAACCTGGGTCATGGGTCCGATAAATGAGCCACAAAAGGCAACACAATTCGGTAAAACATATCCGCTAGAACATGCTCATTCGTCACTTCTCCCACACGTACATAATTTGCAGTGAGAAAACGACCCATTCTATCTGATACATGATTTTAGATTCATAGTTCCGCAATATTTTAAACTCTCTTCAAAAGGCGTTTCATATTGTATTTGCCTGTGATAGTGATGAGTTTTGTTTCATTGTGGATTACTTACCCACCACAAATGGTAATCCCCGAATACCCCACCCTCACCACACCTAACCCCACGATTTATTATGATAACATTGTATTTACTGAGAACATAAGTTTTTCAAATAATCTCTTAATTTTCCGATTGCAAATGACCACTGTATCAGCAGATATTGTAGGTATTGGGTATAATCATAAAAAGGCTTCTGGTGTTTCAAACAGGGTTTGAACAACGTTATAAATAGAAATACAGATAGTAGTTACCATGTGGACGAAAAAATATTTGATTTGAATCAGTTTAACTTCAGAGTATCACGTGGCCTGTTTCTCGTCGAGGTGCTCGTCTATATATATATATATATATATATATGCAGAAGTCGACACGCTATTTGAGCATTAATTACGCGTAGGCCAGATGTTTCTAAACTTGGGACTGATTGAAAAGGCTAGGGTATTCAAGTTTAGGAAGGAAGTCTTTTGGAAAGGCTATCTTTTGAATGTGGGTTTCCAGATTTTTTTTGCCCAGCGAACGTTTATGATGCTCTGCGTTCGTGGAAATCAATTGAAAACAGCACGACCGTGTGGTCATTCGGCGCTCTCTAGTTTTCGTCTTTACGCAGCGATTTGTTCTTTGATGTGCAACTTCAAACTCACATACGACACACATAATGAAATGCATGTCCCAGAGAAAAATGTAGATCTGAATTAAATTAAAATCAATGAAATATCAGTCAAGTGGATTTCTTTACGAAAAAATGTTTTTGGCTTTTGGGACGTTTAGTAACGCTCAATAACGCTCACCTTAAAAGAAAAACTGATTTAATATGTAATTGTACATGGCTCTTATGGCAGTATCTCCAGTTATCCGCGTCTAATAATTTTGCCTGCGTTTTTTAACAAACGGAAAATGTGGGCAAAGCAATACTATCCATTTATGTCTGTTCTGCACTGAGGTTAGGCTTATTAAAATTTCTATATCTAACAGGCATGTAAAATATACATAATCTTGGATGACGCACGATTAGGTTCAGTATAAATTGTTTCCTGTAGGATGCGTCTCGTGCTGGTAGTCAGACTGCACAATTTAAAAAAGATGTAGCTTTGAACAAACATATGATGCTTTTAATAAATGTGAAAAATGATTTCCTATGCTGAAAAGCATTTTCACTGATATACAAGGGAGTACAGTATTAGAGTTACAATTTGTTTGGTTAGCTATCGCTAGTTATAAACCAACAAGTATTTGCAACGTGAAGGTTGATGCCTCTGCTCACAGCATTAACAATTAACAACGGTAACGAGTCACAGTTTTGCCCTTTTTTATTCACGTTACTGTATGTAGACCCTCATATCTGGCATCCTTGTGTAGCTGGTTTTTGTTGACTTTTTTTCTCTCCAAATAAATAATCACCCACACGCCCGTGCCAGCATATATACCGACATTTTACAGCCTCGGCCCAGCCCTGTCTGAAGACCATGCAGTTATTTTTCAACATAGAGTGAGCATTTTCTGTGAATTTTCCAGGATTATTTTGCACCAGAATTTATAGAAACTTTCACGAATTATTTTATCTGTCCACCAAATATATCTCGGTCTATGCATTAGTCACTCTGTAACCGTGCTTGATTCTGTCAACGTGCACAGGCTATTTTTTGCGTCCGTCTCTATAACCCATTTTTTAAAAACGATACAATAAATGTGTTATTTCACAGTACTACAAAGTTAAAAAAAATACGTTGTTGATTCGCCCGCTCGTTACGTCACCAAATATTCGCAAACGGCGAACGTAATATGTTAATACTGGCACTTGTGATCGGTGTAATTATTTGAATCATTTCAGGTTCATGGTTGATGTTTTGATGAAAGATTGCATAAGCATGGGCACCTGTTATATTCCTCAATTAATCCGTTACCCGGGAAATACCCGTCTGAGTCTTGTGTTTTCTGGCTGGAGAAACGCAGGAAAGGTTTTACGACCTCTCGAAGTACTAATGACGTCACTCACCCTGACACGGAATAATGACAGAGCCAGAGTTTGGAGGCAGAGTTTAAAGTGAATCAAAATGTAATTGGTATAAACATTGAACCAGAACTGTAAGGACCTGGAGTATCTAAGGGACATAGATCTGACCTTAATTAGAGGTCCTTCTCTGAAGGATTCTTATGTCTTAGAGCAGGGGTGTCAAATTCCAGTCCTGGGGCGCTGGACCCCTGTGTAGCTTAGTTCTTCCCCTGTTCCACCACAAATGATACAGCTCAAGTGCTGTATGGTAATTAGCACAAGGAATTGAATCAGGTGTGTTTAATGAGGGGAAACCCAAAAATGTGCAGGACTCTGGCCCTTCAGGACTGGAGCTTGACACCCCTGTGTTTGGATGATGATACATAGGGCAACCTTTTGAGCAATGTTGCTGGGCAATGTTGCTGACAGATATTGCTTGGGTGCTTTTTCTTTGACATTGGGCCACAAATTTCTATTTGAAAAACTTTGATTAGTGGTGAGCGACTTTTCGCGATCATCCGGATCCAGATGAGTTGCCCTTTGTCTCATCTGGTTGGTAACTGCCTAGCAACATTGCTCAAGAAGTTGTCCTGTGTATCATCACCTTTAGACTCTGTGACGGTCTCCCAATACTTAACATATTGTGATGGAGAACCTCTCCACACTTCTGAGTTTTGGTACAGCTTGGCAGAGTTGGGTGCACCTGCAGCACTGAATTCTGCCATTGACAGGCATACCCGAAATCTGCCATCTTTGTCAGCTGACTTTCATTCACATCGTAATGATTATCGGCAACGTAGACGCAGCTCCTAGGGTTTGGTAGCCAATTCATTTCCATTTTCATTTGGTAGCAAATGCATTATCAATAGGCCAGGTCTGTATTTAAATGTTATTAACCCCCCCACCCCTCACTCAAATACATTAAAGCAAAATGTCAGTAAATACTGGGAACCCACTGGAGCTGAAATTACACGTGGCATCATATGTCTTTGTAATATCTTTCTCTAAGCATTTAAGAAAGGTTATCCCTTTTGCTGAAAAGGACTGCGTCAAACAAGCATCACTAAAGAGTTCCATGTTTGCTGTTGGGTTTTCAAAATATTTATTTTAGTAGATGATCTGCGGGATCTGGGGCTACATGTCACACAGTTATGGCTTAACTAAAGCAATGTGACGTGATAATTGCAGACGATCAGGACTGCATGGCAAAACAAATATTTATCAATGATGAAGATTACTGGGATGTAGAGTAGCCATACGGCGTTTTCTGGTCCCGTCAAGTGGCACTTACCTTAGGATCATCTTAGAGCCTCAATATAGTCAATGTAAATGAAATAAAATTCCTAACTATATTTCTGGAACTGGGTTTAAGAACAACTGAACATAAGGAGCGTCTTAAACAATAGGCAGTCTGCCAGCGCGTCCTGCTACTCTGGGTATATAATATGTAGGTGTTGGCAGACTTATTGATGCTGCGTCCACTGCGGTTCTAGGAATCTTATATCAATCCCCCATCATCCTCTGTGTGAAGAATTGCCTGCTTTGTTCTGGCCGGACTCTTGCCCAGTGAGTTTTCATTCATGGCCTGGTGTTTATGAATCACTGCTAATATTACAGTAGTCATTAGGGTTGACCTTAGCTATTCCCTCCAGGAATTTGTGTATTTGGATCTCTGTCCTTCCCCAAGGGTCACATTAGCTAAATCTACTCTAACTTGGAAACATGGCCTAACGCGCCACATCCACCAAACCGTCACGTGGTTTGAAACGGTCGCGTAGCTACACATTGCGGCAGCAGATGATTCCGTTTAAGATGAAAGCAGGATACTGGGCAGCAGAATCGATTAATTCGGCGCCTGTGTTGGGCCTCGTCTGAACCTTCTTCCCTCCGGCCCGGACAGATTCAGAAGCCAGTCCCGGCTCAGACTGCGAGGGCCTGGCAGACGGGATGTCGTGCTCGTTCGGCTCTCCATCGGACCTGGGCCCCGCGGCCCGCGATGCCTCGCCACCCTCCTCCATGGAAGAGGTCCAGGTAGAGCTGCAGTGTGCCGACCTCTGGAAGCGCTTCCACGACATCGGCACGGAGATGATCATTACCAAAGCGGGCAGGTAACACCCAGCACAAGACCCGAGGAAAATCTCACCACGCTGAAGCTAAATATTAAATAAATAATAAAATTATAAATAATAAAAACCCCAAGTTTAAATGCTCTTGCCTCCTTCAAATTGATTCATGCATCACATCTAAATTAATAAATCTACAATACAATCAGGTTAATCTGTGATCATTATAAACTGTAATTCTATATATATATATATGTGTGTGTGCGTGTGTGTGTCTGTGTGTGTGTGTGTGT